GCTTATTCTACTGAGCCATCTTCCCAACCCCTAAAAAAGTTTTTGAAAAGAGCGAGGATGTAGTTCACTGTGAAGGCCCTGGATTTAATCCTTAATACTAGACAAAAATGGTAATTTCCAGCACTCTCTGGGATCTAACAACTGGATCTGGGGCCACGAGCTCTGAGTGCCTGTGTGTATGCAACCTTCCTTCCCATACCTGGAACAGACTTTGCAGAGAAGGGGCTGCTAAGCATCGGATCGACTTATTCAGCGTGGTCACAAAGTAGCTCCCTGGCAAAGGGAAGAAAGGGTGAAGAGGCCAGGGACCTGGCCTGCCTTCCAGCTCCAGCTCTGTCCTCAGCAATGCCAGGGAAAGGGCAGCTCCTTCTCTGCCTCTGTTTCCTCTCTGTGAAAACCAAGAGACTCGACCCAAGCCATCCATGACCCACCCCCACCCTCCTACCACACCCAGGACCATTGGGTCACTGACCCAAAGGCCCACAGGATGGGTGCTGTGTGGCCTCTGGCACCCTGTACAGGAAGCCCCCTTGCAGAGGGAGCCAGGAAGGGAAAAGGAGGCCAACAAAGAAAGAAGATAGGAATGGGAGCTCAAAACAGGATGCCTGCAGGGGTCGCCTGGCCCCTCACTTACCACAGGAAGCAAACTTGAGGTTGTAGAAGTCGTTAAATTTTTGGACAGGGACCTTGAACTTCTCCATCCGATGAGTATGCAGGGTTATGATATTGCTGTTCCTCAGGCCCACCAACAGCCATTCCTCAGTGGGGTCATGGGTGATGCTGAGGATCTGCTCAGGAGAGGCGTGGAGTCAGCGTTCCAAGTCACCAGCACTATGATTCATGCCAGCATCCTCCACTCAGACCCACCACCACCTGGACCTGAACCCCACGGGGTCATCAGCCAGGTACCTCACTCTGCAAGCGGTACTGGTGCAGCCTCTGGTAGCTCCTGAGGTCCCAGGAGTACAGGACGGTGTCTTCGCCTCCTGTCCAGAACTTATTGCCTGTGATATCTCCACAGCGAGCCCCATAGGTGGGGACTTTATGTTTCCTGGTGGGAAAACAACTCTGAGTTCATAGACAGTTTTGGGGACCTCCTAGAAGGCTGAAGGTTAGGAAGCCTGAGAGAGATCCTCCACAGTGCCTCAGAAAGTCCTACTGCAGGCCGGGGAGATAGCTCAGTGGAATAAGCACTTCCCTGGCAAGCGCAAGGGCCTGAGTTCAATCCCTGCTTCCATAAAAGAAAGAAAGAAAGAAAGAAAGAAAGAAAGAAAGAAAGAAAGAAAGAAAGAAAGTAAGTAAGTTAGTTCTACTGCAAAAATGAGAAGTGAGAGCTCAGGCTTAAGCCCTCCCCCGGTCACCTATGGAGCTCTGGAGAGAGGTCAAACCTGATCAAGATGTGGTTCTGCAGATCCCAGATCTCCACAAATCCCCTGAAGCAAGCCAAGCAGACACGGGCGTCAGAGGAGAGGGCCAGGGAATAGCATATGCTGCCTGTCGAAGCCAGCTGTGTGCGGACCCGGGGCATGGACGCCAGGTCCCAGAGAGTCAGGGTGCGGGCCTTGCCCCCTGTTATCAGGCTCTGCTCATCTGGGAACAGCTTGCAGGTGAAGACACAGTTGTGAGGGCTCTGCAAGAACAGGGAGCGCTGCTGTGTCACCTGGCCCCGCCTTGGTCCCAAGCCATGCTGGAATGCCCCTCACCTGTAAGTCCAGATGGGCCTGGGGGGCCTTGTCCCAGGCATGCAGAGCACTCTCATCCCACACCCTGATGTAACCAGGGCCACATGTGTACACATGGTGGGTTGAGCCGCCAATGGCAATGGCAGAGACTTTCTTTCCATGTTGGAGTGTGCCAACTTTCCAGGCAGCCTGTGGGGTCTTCTGGCTGACTACTGCTTCATCTGGAATGCGCGGCTATGGAGAAGATAGGTTGGGTGGCACGAACATGGTGACATGGCCCTGACCTACCATCATGCATGGGCACCACCAGGTCCAATCCATCCATCCATCCATCCATCCATCCATCCATCCATCCATCCATCCAACAGCAGGGCCTGGGTCTGGGTTCCCTAGGTCACATCTCTTGAAGAAATGACACTGAGCTGCAGGCCCTATTCATCAGGAAGTGAGAGGAGGGCAACCTGGTTCCGAACGCCACTATGGGAGAAGTGACATGAAGGCAGATATGGCTTCTAGATCGGGGGCAAGTAGGAAGGAAGACTCCTGAGTGTTAACCGAAAAGTGGAACAGCAAGATACTTACAACTGCTTCGAGGAGTGACAAAGCTTCCCTGCTGGGCGAGGACGAAGAAGAGTGCTGGTCTGTCGGGAAAGAGCAGCACCCACCCATTCCAGGTGAGGGTGTTGGCAGCAGGCAGCAGGCGTCTTCAGGGAGACTTGACACCACACCCCATTCTCCATTCCCCATTCCCCCTCTGGGGCCACCACCCCTCCCTGCCCACACTGTCATGGCCAGCACTTACCAAGCACAGGTCCTGGTAGGAGTCTGTGGCAGACGGAGAGGTGGGAAGGAGGAGCCAGAGCATGAGACCCGGAGTTCTGCGCTGGGAACCCCTCTCCCCAGGACAGGGGCTCCCCCACCCATCCTTCTTCAAGACAGACCTACCTGGAGTCATCCTGGGCCCCTTGACCTAGCTCACCCTCTAAGAACCACGTGGCCTGGAGCTCAGAGGTATCTAGGGTCCAGAAGTCCCACTGCTGCTGGGTCATAGTCCTCAACTCTTGATAAACAGGGTCCAGCTGAAATACTGGGCGGCGTGGCAGCACCTGGAACGGCCCATGACCACGGCCCAGCTGGTACTGCATCAGTTGTTCATGCTGAGAAGAAGTATCAGAGCTCACTGGCATAGCCCTTCTCTCTTCTGGTTCATCGTAAATCCTGAGGATCCTGAAAGAGTCCTCCTCCTTCCTTCTGCTCATGTCCTTGGCCAGTGAAGTGCGGAGCCCGCTGCTTCGAGGGCTTGAGAAAGAGACAGGCCAAATAGACTCTAGGTTCCCAGTTTGTCCCGATCTCCTGGAACGTGAAAGAGAACACGGACAGAAATGCACATTCGCTGTGTGGCGTCTGCTTAGAAGGCGCTAGGCATGCCTTGCATAAAAGACCTTGCGACCTTGGTCAACGACTGACTTCTAAAATGTCAGCGGCAG